TTGTCCTTAGATGGGTTTCCTGCATTTCTTTGAAGTTATTGTAGTTATAAGGTCACAGTGATATTTTTTTAATTACAAAAGTTTAGGAAAGTTAAGAAGAATTAAGTTTCGAATCCTTTCAAATCCGAAAACGAGCTATCTTGGAGGGTACTTGTTTCACAAGTTAAAACTAAATACCAATACATAAATGTAACAGAAAGAAAATTCCTTTGAAAACGATAGGTCATGACAACTCTTCTAACATCTCAGTGAGATCTCCCAAATTAACGACTGGTTATTGATATGGCGAATAATTTTTCGACTGATCAATTTCTAATTTTTAATTTTGTGAAAAAATATCTAGTTAAACCGGTTAAAACCTTCCCTTGAAAATTTAAAAAAAATGGGTTTGAAAGATCCATCAATAAATCATTAATCGTTGGTTGTTTGAAGGCAGGTGAAGAATTTTTATTTATTTATTTTTAGTGTCATTGTAAACGTCAAAACCGCTCAACTCTTTTTGCAGGCATTTGTGTTAAGCTCAGTCTCTTTCTCAATAAAAGCAAATTCGACTGAGTGTCATAAAACCAAAACAGAAGAAAGAGAGAGGCTAACGAGAAAAAACCACAAGAGGCCACTGAATATGTCTTTAACGATCTTTCAAATTGGTCCCAGGCAATTAGCTTGAGGCTCGAGTTGATAAAGAATTGTACTTTTGAATAAAGATCCAAAGCAAGATAACTCTGAAAATATAGACCCGATTTGGAGAAACAATTCTGGATTTCTGAAATCCTACTTAAGTTAATTGGGCTACCTTCCACTGTTTCATTAAACAAAGTCTTTTTACAATTCGAATTAAGTTTTCATAAATGAGTATTTAACGTGTAAATTCTCATTTCATATCATATCGACCATTTAATTTCTTGATGTGGCGAATAATTTTTGCTTTGATAAAATTATGATTCAATTCAGTTCGATCTTTATTTTGTGATGGGTTCAAACCGGTTGAAACCTTCTCAAACCGGTTGAAACCTCTTCAAAAGGAAAAGGGATTTAAGATATGAATGAATGAATCATCAAACGTTGGTGGGAGGGCTGGTCAAGAACATAAGTCTGTTTCATGGCATTAACCCTTTCACTCTTACAAGTGACCAAGACAGAATTTCTCCTTACAATATCAATACAATATCAACCAGTTAGGTGATGATGGAGTCATGTTCTAATTAAAGCAGTTCTTGCGTTCCTGTTGATTGTGTCGATAACGAATTCCATTGTTTCCATAATGCATTTGCCATCATCTTTCGAGTAATGAATTCGAAAATCAGTGTCGCAATGCTTATGAAACTGGTATGAAAAGTATAGTTGAACGATTTAACTTACCAAATCAAACAGATCAACTGAGAGTACTCTACTACAGTCTTGTAGTGACCTAATTCATCGATTCTTTGTGGGATGTCGCCTAACTCGAACTGAAATTTGTGAAAAGATACGTGCCAGAGAATTTACATGCATCGGCACAGGCATCTTTCTCCTTTAATGGTCCAACTTTGCTTTTTAACTTAGCTCATCGTAAATATCAAAATCACACGTTATACTTAAGGCTTGTCTCTCTCTTTTGTGAAAAATCAATGAAACTACTACCTGAGCTCCGTTCGTAGTACCATTATGGAGAGGGCCTAAATAACACGTGACGTATTTTTGAATGAACACGTGTAAAATCTAACCGGTTGATACTACATGAGTGATCTGTACTGAACCTCTTCAAGATCAAATTACTCAGCGTCTATTGCACATATGATTGAATGACGTTTTGAATTAGGCGAGTGATCTCTGCTTCCTAAACAGGTTCCCTCCTCTCCAATGACAACATATGAAAACATGGCAAACTTTAAGTTGTTGAGTTACCGGTAGAAGCAAATTCTAGCTGCAACATTTTCTGCCTGTTTAGGGCATTCGGTTTCATAGGTGTCACTGCTGTCTTACCCCCCAACGATGGGCGAAATGAGTAGTCCGTCACTTGTGAACCAACGGCCTGGTGTGTATTTTGTTCAGGTTTTAGGAGAATTACGAAAATCTTCGGAGCGAACATGCAAATTAATAGTCCATATGAACTGACAAGTATCATGGCGCAAGTCAAGTTTGTTTCGTGGGAACCCCTTAAGCCAATGTCAATAGGGAAGTATGCTATACT